TATCAGAAGGGCATGTGAGCAGTGCAATTCGGAATGCAGGGTTTGCATGGGGTGAAGTCAGCTCTTCACATGAGCTGGTCTTAACACCTCATGTGATGGAAAAGGTTAAAATGTGTTTGGGGCTCTTTGTGAAAGGTGCTGTGAAACCCAGGAATTAAGAGCTTGCTGACAGCACAGTGACATGGGATGGAGCATTGGATGACACAGTTATATTTACTGGCTGCTTGAGGGTCAGATTCTACCCATATGAGATTTGTAAGTGGCCACAAGATCACTGCTTTCAGCTTGCACCAGGAGTGGCTATACAAATGTAGGGTTTGGCACCTTTGAAAGGTGGGGATTACTTGGAGCAACTTCCCAGCCATTTATTGATCACTGGAGTCTGAACCTTGGAAATCCTGAAATCCAGGAGCATGGAGGAAAGAGAGACCACAGCCTGGGGCAGCTCAGGGTGAGCGTCCCAGATACCTGGTGGTCACAAGCAGGGAGAGCTCACAAGCTGGGCTGCACATTGTCCTGACAGCTGCTCAGTATCCCAGTCTATACATGGAATGGACATACCTATTGCCAGTGTATGGCAATGGCTCACCGTGTCCTTGATGGTACTAGTCACCTTTGCTTCCTACAACCGTCTCACTGCACACCTTCAGTAGCAGCCCATGATGGAGCCCAGCAGTTATTTAGCATTTTACAGCAGTTTCCTTGTGTTGCTTTGACATCTTTTACTATCAGCCTGAACAGGCAAAAGTAATCAAGGTTTGTTCAAAAGTAATTCTGCATGATGGCTTCTCTTGAGGAGCAGATAATCTGTTTTTATTTATTTATTTGTTAATAAAGCTGCATAACAAAGGATTTAATCATTCCAGTGATACCGAATGTAATGTACTTGCCATAATTAATGCCACTACTAATGGCTGATTGGAATTTTTCCTTAATTGTATCATTAAGATACATTTCATGCATTAATTTTTTTTGTAAAATGACAGCTAAGCTCTCCTGCCTCACATCTCCCACTTCCTGATTCTATTACTTCACATGGGAGGCCTTTCACAGCTTTTCCTTTCCAGGGGAAATCGAGTGGATTTTGATTAGATATGCCAATACATTCCAGGTTAGCAAAGCTTTTCTGTGCTCTTTGTCGATGTTAGTGGTGAACAGATGCACTGAACTTTCCCCTTCTTGCTGGCCTGGAGTTCATGCAAAATAGACGTGCGGGAAGTGTCAAGACAGGCCTGGGAGGAACAAGAAGATTAAAAACCAATCTGCAGGTGTTATTGCATGCCCTGCTGCACGAGTGGGAGGTTAAGGTTGGGCAAACCTTGCCATGTCTGGCCCAAAGGCAGGACTCCTGGGATCAGGGACTCCAGACTCAGAGGGGGTGATGTGTTGATCCAAGGATTCAGCGGCAAAAGCTCCCAGATGTTGATCACATAAACTCCAGCTGCTGGAGAAGAGTTGGAAGCTCCCAGCAGGTCCATGCCCTGCTACAGGGAGCAGACAGAGCTCAGCTGTGAGAAACAGGATAGGACCTTCTGTGTGTCTCAGGGCTTCCCTCCTGGACGTGTGCAAGGTTTCCTGCTTGCTCTTTGAAATTAAGTCAGCTTGTCTTTGCAAGGCTACAGCCAGTCACCCACAGCAAGCCCAGCCTTCTGGCAAGGCATCTAGGAGGTGTATGAATCAGTGTGGTCCATTGTGGTCCAAAATAGGACCTAGAGCCCTTGGCAATGGTGATGTGTGTGGATTTGTTTTGGATGAGTAAATACAGTTTTCACTGGATGAGAATTTGTAGTTATGTTTGTAATTCCCAGCTGCTCAGAGGGACGGGAGTGGTGTGGACTCTGGTTTGTGCCTTTTCTGACTGCAACTCCCTCCCAAATCTGGATTTATTGTTACATGACTACACAAAGGCAAAATTCGAAGGAGGGTGCTTAGGAAAAAGGGGAATCTCTGGCTGGAATAATGACTACAGAAAACATTGTTAAGATGCCTTGAGGGGCAGATAGTTTTTGCTTGTCTTTAGCATCACCGCTGGATTTTGAACTGAGAACAGTCAAAACTGCCTCAAAGCCAACCAAATTGCTACTGCTGTTTGCCTTGCAAAGCCAGAAGCCTAGTGTTGTACATGCTAACTAATGAAAAGCAGGTAATGCAAGTGGATTTGTGCAGCCAACAGAGTGGGAACTTCCATGCCAGGCTATACACAGCAACTAGCAAATACTTTGAAAACCTTTCAAGATGTTACTGCAATATTGACCGTGGGAAGCATTTGGGAGCAGGCTTTTGTTCTCAATACTATAACCATGCTGCTGACTCAACGAGTCCTTGACCTCAATTAGTTGCATTTGTCATTTGGAGTCCAGTGGGGATGAAGTCAATTGCCTCTCTCTTTCTCTTCTTTTTTCCCATCCTTTCTTGCTCGATGTATGACAGAGCTGAAACTTGGCTAAGGCATAAATTCCATCCAGCACTTGACAGGTTTTGCCCTAACTGTGTCCCGGGGGACCCACAGAAGAAGCAGAGGAACCCTTTGGACTCTGTAAAGCTACAGCCAACAGAGGGGAGTCCTGCATTAGAAATGTCCTGCTGGATAGGCTGCACATCTGCTTTGCTACTGACCTGCTAAAAGCCCTGAGCAAGAAACTACATGGTTTCTTCTTATATGGTCTCTTCTTTTGAAAGTGATGGAAGACATTCACTTACAACATCCTAGTCACATGAAGCTCATTCGGGATAGCTTGGTTACCATCTATAACAAGTGTTGTCAACCCTGAATGGTTTCAAGCCACTGGAACACTAGTACACCATGACCTGTATCTGCTGGAACAGGGTCTATGTTGTACTGTCAAGCTCTGAAAGTCAATAACCTTCAAGTTGTCTCACAGGTAAAATAACTGCCAGGGTTTGTACATCAAAACAGAGGGCTTTAGGGGCTGCTTGTTGGAAATACAATGCAGAAGGATGTCAATTCTCATGTTACACAAACTGCAGAGGCAGAGTTTTGACTTCTGATCAAACACAAAGCAGTCAGGTATTGTTTTGAGATGTATTTTTTTGTTACACTGGGTGTTGGGTAACACTTCAAAGAACTTTACCCTTTTGGTTATTGATACTTTTAATTAGCCAGCAAAAAGTTCTCTTTGGGTTAGAGACCACTGACTACTCTTCAATTTTCTGATGCTTTTTTTGAGTTACTGATGTTAATGGTTATTGCTGGTTTTATCTTTAACCTTTGTGGTCAGGAGTGGGGATGCTGGCTCTGAGCTGCCTGTGCTGTGACAGTGAAGAGGGCAGTGGATAAAAGGAGTTGGAAAACCCACTGAGCTCCTCCTCCTTGCAGCCCTTTGTAAAACTGGGCTAAGTCTGAGACAATGCATTTTTGGCTCTATATAGGAATGAGACATCATGAAAAAACAGATTTATGCCAGAAAAACAGAATACAAAATGAAATAGAACTTGCTTCTGCCATCACAAAAGTTGCACTTGGTTTCAGCTCCTTCCTACATTGGGCAAATGGCAGTCTGAGACATTACAGAAACATTAGATACCAGAAAGAGCTAAATAAGAGGTATGAGGAGCGCTGATTTTCACTGTATAAAGTAGTGCAATACCACTCACATCTTCCTCCTAGCAAGCTGAATTTCCAGTTCAATTTTGCTCATAGACGGTGTCAAGAGAGCTTTGTCAAATGCTTTTCCCCCAAGTCCCTTCTTGCTGTCACTGTTAGTAACAAATTTTTTGTGTTTTATTTCAGGATTTTCAACAAATTTTGGAATCAAACTGAGCACCATTAATTGTTGTTCTCTGCATAAACCAACAACATAATTTATCAATGTGGCAACAACAGTAATGTTTGTATTTCCCAGTTTTGAAATACTTGGATTGGAAATGACAACATTAAAATTGAAAATAATGGTAATTATCTCTCTGCAAACGTGTTTTGTTGCTACATTCGATATCATCTTTGAAACCAGCCATGAACAGAAGTCACCATAAGCAACAATAAACTAAAAATTCATTTTCCTAGAGATTGTTGCACTGCATCTGTTGTGTGGGAAATAACTCTGATTTTTGTGGTTTTGTTTGGAATTTAAGAATGGTTTGTGGATGGGAAATTTCAAACCAATACCATCAGGAAAAATCAACTGCTTCTATTTAGCTAAATTTGAAATGTTATATGATAATATGAGTGGCTGTTTTTAATGCAGTGTGTATGTATATATATGTATGTGCACCTTGAGATCAATATTAATGTGGAAACAAGACACTTTCGGTACCAAAATGAGAAGGAAACATCAACATAATTCTTCACACTTTCCTACTGGAAAATGCCAAATGTTGTATGTTGTCAAACTGTGGGCAACATAAAGTTGGGGATGATTGAGTTGAGCACTGCCTGAGCCCAAGGAGCCATGTTTCCTCCCAGAACCAGGACCCCCAGCACCACTCTCACTGCCAGGGTGCTCAAGGACCATGTCAAGGGGCTTGGTGTCTCCTGCCTGGCCCCTGCAAATCTTGGTTGGTTCATCCACAGTGGGTTTAAGCTTCAATTACTGAATTGCATTTGTAGTTCCTCCCTGGAAAACAATGTACCATTGCAGGGCAGGGAAAGGATGTTTTAGGCTGTATTTTGTACCTATTCCTCCCTTCTGGGGAGCAGTCATTGAGCAGTAGCTCTCCAGCATCACCAGTGGAGGCAAGAATCAAATGAGTGCTGTGGGCACTCCTGCTTTGGGGCAAGAGCAGGCAGGAGCTTTGAAGGTGAGGTGACACCCCACAGCTGGACTCAGGGAGCAACACCAGGTGTTAGATGGGGGCCAGCACCAGCTCCTGCAGGCATTTAACACCTCCTTGGATCCTTATTTCACTTTAATTTATTGAAATGATTCCCTTATGAACTAGTTCCTGATGTCCTTATTAACCAAGGATTAATTAATTATTAATTAAGCAGCCCAGGCTACTTATTAATTCAACTTGTTAATTAAGTATAGGGTGCTAATGAGGCAGCTTGTAAATGGAGTTGTCAGGGGGAGGTGAGGATGGGAAGGAGGATCTCTGCCTGGTTCTTGTTGCAGAGCCAGGAATGGGGCTCCTTATAGGGCCGTTGGTCATGGGAGTTTCCTGAGCTGGGTCATGTAGTCACAGCTTGGGAGAAGCTTTATTCCTGTTGACAACCCAAAAGTAATCTGTCAAGAAGAGATTCCAGGACTTGCAGGCCAATATTTCAGTGCTTCACACAGGACTAAGCTGCATAAGCACTGGGACAGGACCAGTGTGACCATGGGATGGAGGTAAGGAGAATGACTTGGAGGTGTGGGAGGTGATGGGCACTGGTGGCTTCCTGCTTTTGTTGGCCTTAATGAGATTCAGATGGGAATTATGCTCCTTGAAATGACTTTCCATCAGGATGAGAAAGATGTGCAACTTATGGACAATAAATAGAGTAAGAGACAAATAGGAGTCCTCTGTTTTGCTGGAGCTTTTGCAGTGAGCAAGAGGTATATATCTCTTTGTGGTAAATTAAAGCTACCTGTGATGCTTCCCAGCTCTGCTCCTTCTTCTGTCTGCAGGATCAGGTCAGGATCCATTAGAGGATGGAGCTGCTAAGCCGTGCTCCTTTGTCTCCATGGAGCTGCGAGGACAAGTTCCTTCAGTGTTAAAGCTTTGTGAGATAACCCCATGCAAGCATCTGACTGCATATTAGCATCAGGTAATCAGGACTGACGTGGTAATTTCAGATGCCTTCTCTGAAAAGTTTGCTGATGGGCAGTTTCTTGTTGCCAGCAAGGCTTGGACGTCATTGGTTTGTTCCACTGCTAATGCCATTCCCCAGGCGAGCTGAAAATAAAACCATTTCTAATCACTTCTCAAAGTTTCTGAAAAGAGCTGGGGGAGGGAGAGAGCTAATGAGGAAAACAGCTTTGGAAACAGAAGAACATTCCCTGAAGTCAACAGCCTAAAAAAACTTGGGTTTGAATATTCATTTCTACTGAGATTTTCTATCGCTATAATTAATTTGTCACAAATGCACTGACAAAGCATTTCTGGTGGAGTGATGAAGGCTAAAGGCAGAGGTTTACTTAGTGTCTTTTGAAGAAAAATAACTAGCTATCAAATAACTTTAAACCCTTAAAGCTTTACTGGCCTGATCCTGCTTTCATTAAAGAATGCTGCTTGGCTTTGAAGACAGCTAGAGCTATTGAAAAATGGTTATATGGATTTATTTTTGGTTAATTCAGTCCCCTTCTGGTGTATTGGTGTATTATCCACAGACACTTTGACAGGCACAGGATTTATTTTTCTCTTAATAGAGAGGGAAAAGAAAAAAACCTTTAAAGCACCCACAGAGCTGTTCAGGGCTCAGTTCTGCTGATTTTTCCCCTTTCTTTCTTCAGTAACATCAGGGTCCTTGGGATGCTTACGTGAAGTAAAAGATGTCTGACAGCAGCCAAATAGCAAATCGATGGCAAATGTCTCAAATGACTGACATGTAAAGACATCTGCCTCGTTAGATCAGCTCACTGCTCTCTGCTGGGCAGGTTTGCACCACCAGTGATGGTCAGGTTGGGGAATTAAAGGAGGAAATCTTCAAGACTTTGTCTTTCTGCCTCCCAGGTAATTGCTGCATGAGTCATGGGCAGGACATCCTTTGCAGGACCCAGCAACTGACTCAAATCAGAGGGAATATTTTTTTGGTGGGATAAGTATCAGACCTGATTCTGTAACCATTACTCACCCCTAGTAGCATTAGTTCAATAAGTCTATTCATGTAAGTAAGCCTTCACTGATGTGAGTAATGGTGGCAGATCCTGGCCCTGAGTTAGTACATGAAACCTTCCCAAGCTCAGGAGAAAGCGTCATGACTCAGATCTAGCTTTAAAAAGAGAAGTTTTAAATCCCAAGTTATGATGTGCCATTTGGCTCTTGCTGGAGTTGGTCTAAAAAGGCTGTGCTGAATAATAAAAAAGATCAAGCTTTTGATGTTAAGTTGCATGTTCAAGCATAAACTCCAGCCTTGGTGATGAAGCTTAGCCTGGGTTATTTCACCCAGGCAAAGACACTAAGCAAGACCCTTGCACCAGTTCTCACTTTAGAGGAAATGTCTGTGTACTAAAAAGAGAAAAAAAAGTTTTGACAGATAAGTAATTAGGAAACATCTGGCCAAACCGAAGGCAACTGAAGTGATTCCAATCCAAGGTGGTTCAGTGAAAGCTTTTCATCTCGGCTCCAACAGAAACAGCAAACTTAGCACTTAAAAAACCCCTCCAGCTTTCTGATGAAGTGTTAAAAAGTCAGAGAGCGAAAAGTGCACATACATCCACCCAGCACGAGAGGCTGCGTGGAGGAGGAGAGAAAATACAGAGCTGTGCATACACAGAGGTGTGTGCCAAGGGCCCAGAGGCAGGGCCAGTGTTTCGACACTGTCACGGTGGGTTTGATCCGATTCCCAGCAGCCACATGGCTCCAAGGCTGACACGTTACTGCAGAGCTGATCACTGCATGGTGCTGTGGCTGCTCTGCGAGCCCCTGGTACCCGCTTCCAGCAGCACCTCCTGCACCGGCTGCTCCGTGGGCCCCCACCTATGGGCACCGTAGGCAGCGTGTGGGCTGGGAGGTTGTTCCAGTCCTGACAGCCCTTGTCTCATTCCTCTCTTTTGAAAGCTTCATCGCAGCTGTGCATAGAGTAATGGAATATCCTTACTGGGGATTTTGAGTGAGTGATGCTCCTTTCAGTAGGTTCTGTTTCACTTGGCATGGGGTTTTGAAGATCTTTCCTCACGCTAGGGAACGCTGGTGGTTTGGAGGCTCCATTAAAAGTAATACTGGAATTGTGTGGATGTTTCCTTCAGCTAATTGCATTGGAAGGATTTTGATGTGCTCAAGAGGTGATGTTTTCTCATGATGTTCATGATGTTCTGGCTGTCGCAGTGCCTGCTTAAAATGGTCCTTCAGAATCCTGTGAATTTCAAGCAAGCTTCACTTTGAGTTTTGGGGCAAAGTTTTTGACATCTTTTTTCTTCAAACTCTCAAGTTTACTCAGGTCCAACCCCTTCAGCCTCTATGGCTCTTCCTTCACAGCATTCACACATGGTACCTCAGCACTGGTGGACAGGACAGCCACCCCTGTGCCTTGCAGGAACTTGGAATTGCAGCCTGGTCTTGGTGGGGGTTGTTGCTTTTTTAAGCTGCCCATTTTCATATTTTTAACACACCAGACTAAAAATCCCAGAGCAAATCTCCTTGCATCTCAATGCTCAGCATCCAGCTGCAGGCTTAAGCTCTGCCAAGCAGGGCAGGAGGAGCTGCAGAGACCTGGAGAAGGAATGGGAGCAGGCGAACCATATATTCCCTTCCATCCCTGCACAGATGAGGAGGAGGGGGGAGGAGAGGATCTGTGTTCTCCTTTTTTTTTAACAGCAGCCATTTTAAGCTGCTTCTTGCACAGCTGGAAATCATTGCGATAGCATCAGCTGTCAAGGAGAGTTATGAGATTTGGCAGGATCCAGAGGGAAAGAGGTAGCAGCTAAATCATTTGTGAATAGTAAGTCCTTCAAAGACATAGCGAGGGGCTCTGGCTCACCGGTGGGTGCCAGCGTGGGTCCTAGAGCAGGATGGCGCAGGACCAAGCACTGACCCCACAACAGCACTTGGCAAGGCACGAGGCTCTGTGAGGGTGAAGGGCACCTGCAGGTCTTGAATTGCTCCTGCAGTTTGTTGCCCCACCAGTGTGTCCCCAGGCACAGACAGCTGGAATACCTTACAACTGGGATGGGTTTATTATTGAGTAAGGAAATATGTGCTCTATAAGCCCACTGCCAAAAAACCACCGTAAAGTAAGAACAGGAAGCACACAATATATTCCTTTCCAGATTAATTGCTATTATTTTGATTAAAACACATTATCATATAAATATTTGATTAAGAATGTGGTTAAATCTTTCTTGCTCATGAACTGTGACAACTTTCACGTCTAACCTTTTATAGCTTGGCACCACATCATTATTTTGCTCATTAGCTACATTTAATAATTCGATCTCATAATATGCTTTGCCATTTGGAACCTGCCTTTGTGTGCCAAGTTCAGATCAATGCTGTTAGTTATTTGTGCCGCTGCAGATAATTAAACAAAAATTAAAAGCAATTTAACCTTGCAGTCTGGCTTCGGGCAGATGAGTGTTTGAGAAAGGGAGCGGGTCACAGGGCACAAGTCAATGGGGGCTCTGCTGCTGCTGGCCGTCGGTGCAAAGCTCTCCAACAGTGGTGTGGGAAAGTGGAGGTGTCTCCTGGGGGGGACAGGGAGTCTCCAGTAATTCCAAGTCCATTTCCACCATGTAAATCACAAACAGAGCTGGCAAACTTGCTCTGGCTTCTCACAAATGACATGATGGGGTAAAACAGTGAGCAGTGGGGGTTTTGGCACACAGGGAGAAGCAGAGCAGCTTCAACTGAAGGTGCCAAGGGCTCACCTCCACGGGAGCTATCTTCTGCTGCCCTGGGACACATCTCCCTGGGGAAAAGGGTGTTGCCTTCTTGCTCTGGCCCTTTCTGCTGGCTCCAGGCTGTTAGGGTGCACCGTGGGCTCGTCCTGTCCCTCAGCAGGATCAGGCCCCCGTGGGCTGTCTAGAGGCAGAAGGATGCCTCTGTCTCTCCCAGCTCACTCCAAACAGCCAGAGCCCACTTTCCTAATTTAAACCACACACAAAAGCTTGCCTTACATGGTCATGGATGCTATTTTTAGGTTTGCCAATTAATCCAGCTTCGTTTGAGCTGGATTACAAATCACATACCCCTTAATTATAGGTGTATAAACTCCAGACTGGCAGCTGTTTTGACATTCTCAGCTGGGAAATTTGCCCTAAACAGCCACCCCCCTCCCCGAGCTGCGGCAGGATTGCGGCTCGGGGTGCCTGCCTCCGTGCCCATCTGCTGCGATGGCACCGCGCCTGCTCCCGGCGCGCTTGGATGCCTGCCCTGGGACACAGGTGCCAGGCACCATCGAGCCGCCATGGGCAGCCTCCTTCTTTCTCCCTTTTTTTCCCCCTTTTATCACCCTTTCCCCCCCCTTTTTTCCCCTTTTCCCTGCAGGAAATTCTCCTCTGTGTCCCCCAGGCCTTTCCTTTCCACTGAAGACATCTGCTAGGAGCAGGAAGGGGCCTGTGCTGATGCTTCTGGGGTCTCGGGAAGTGCCTGCCCCAAGTGATGGGCAATGGGGCACTGCTGGGCATGGAGCCTCCATGCACGGCTTGAGCTCCTCACACCCAGCAGTGCCAGCCTATGCAGGGCTGCCTGCAGCACCTCTCTGTGTGCCCATGGCTAATGTGGAAGGATGTGCTGTGAGGCATCTATGTGGTCCCCAACATATGCAGGCATGCAGGCAGTGCTGGGACAATGGGTCACCCTCCACAAGCACCTCTGGGTGCTCAAAGGGTGGCATGCTGCCCGCTCCCAGTGGGAGTTCCTCTCCAGGGAAAGGGAAACCTGAGTGAAGAGCTGCCTTATTTATTTCAGTGTGGGTAGGGGAGATTTTAAAGCATGACCATAGTAGTGCCCATTTCTAACACTGCTGAATAGCGGGTTTCTGGTGAGAGACCACTGCGCTCTAAAGCAAAGAGTGAAAAAAACACATTTCAGAGAAAGCTCCATGGGGATCCTCCCTGGGACAGGGCTGTATCAACCCAGAGGCAGGAGCTGTGCTTGGTCACCGAGGACCACCCCATGGCATCTCCAAAGGCCCCTCATGCCAGGGCAGAGGCAGGGCTTGGTGGTCAGACCCTGCATTAATGTGTCCCTTGTCCCACTCTGGGGAGACCCATCCAGCACAGCTGATGGGGCATTGCTGCTAATTGTGGCCATGGGCTTGAGCAGCTGGGGAAGGGTTTGCGGCTGAGCCATACCTGAGCACTGAGCTAATTCCCCAGCAGTGCTGGTCAGCCTCATTCCCCCCGGGAGGGTCCCTGCCTGTCCTGCTCCTGCTCTCCATCAATTTAATGCCATCCCGGTAGCTGGAGGTTTGACAATAGCTGGCATGAATGTTTGATCTTAACAAATTGTCTCTCTTGTGAGACCTCACCTGGAGCACTGTGTGCAATTCTGGTGTCCTCAACATAAAAAGGACACGAAGCTGTTGGAACAAGTCCAGAGAAGGGCCACAAGGATGATCAGGGGCTGGAGCACCTCCTGTATGGAGACAGGCTGAGAAAGTTGGGGCTGTTCAGCCTGGAGAAGAGAAGCTGCGTGGAGACCTCATAGCAGCCTTCCAGTATCTGAAGGGGGGCCTATAGGGATGCTGGGGATGGACTATTCATTAGGGACTGTAGTGATAGGACAAGGGGTAATGGGTTCAAACTTAAACCGGGGAAGTTTAGATTGGATATAAGGATGAAGTTTTTACTGTGAGGGTAATGAGGCACTGGAATGGGTTGCCCAGGGAAGTTGTGAATGCTCCATCCCTGGTGGTGTTCAAGGCCAGATTGGACAGAGCCTTGGGTGACATGGTTTAGTGTGAGGTGTCCCTGCCCATGGCAGGAGGGTTGGAACTGGATGATCTTAAGGTCCTTTCCAACCCTAACTCTTCTACAACTCTATGATTCTATGAAATGCTTTCATTTTTTGTTTCAGTGTAATAGTAAATGCTTTTGACTCTAGTGAATGCAGTGCCTGGCTTGCTTGAACTCCATGATGCTTTCCTCCTCTCATTTTATGGCAGTGTCAGCAGCATTAGCCCATGACAGTCCCTTGTCCTTTTCCTGACAACTTCACTGCAGCTCTTGGATCCCTTTTAGTTTCATGCTCCCTGAATCAGCTCTCCAGATTGCCCCTGACTGGAACCCCTCCTGCATCCCAGGATCATCTCCATCAGCAGCCTGGCATCCCGCCCTGGCAGAGGTGGTGATTCCCATGCCACAGGCAGTGGCTGTGCA